AGATGATCCTTCTTATATACTGTAACAATGGATAAAGGTTCTATTAATTAGATTGACAAATAAGTCAACTCAGATCTACTAATGTCTAATCATGCTAAAAGACAACTCCAGCAAGCTAATCATGATTTAGCTCTATCTGGATGAATAATTAGACTCTCATCCGAAGTACCCTGATCTATCCTTTCTATAAGGATAATTAATATCGATCTAGTAGCATGTATCCGATAGGTACAGTCTACTTAGTCTATATCAATAGTACATATCTGAGTGTATATCGCTGAGCATACATCTTTAGCATGTATCTGGATATATGGCATGTCTATAGCATATCGTATGCATGTCTATAGCATGTCTCATATATAGTACAAGTCTGTAGTACATAAAGTATCTGTAACTAGTATCACGGATATAAGCATGTGTCTTATAGCGTGTAGCATAAAGTGCACATCTGAAGCAACAAGCTCATATTGCATTAATCTTGGTGCTTATCCAGATATGGCAAACATCCGTAGTCAATGTCGGAATACAAGCATAAGTCTATAGTGCCATCCATGTCCGTGGTGCCATCTATAGCCTATATCTTATATAGTATGAATCTTATAGTACTAGCGTATCCAAAGTCCATATCTTCTTATAGTATAAATCGATATCGTACATCTAATCCAGTGCACAGAGAGTTTATATCTAAGTCTGGTAACTGGATGAACTGTTGGAATGCATATCATAGTGGATGTATTCCATAACATCAAAAAGCAAGACTTATACTATGGTATACGAGCCTTTCAGCACTTCGGGTGGTTTCCTGACCTACGCTTCGCTTCGGTGGAAACCAACCTACGTTCAAACGGCTCGCGCTGCCGCGAGCCTTTGGCTAATATCCCAAAATTAATATAGCTAAAATGTTACAAGAAGAACCCTGATTGTTGACTGATATATAATCACTAATCATATGCGTGTTTATGCTTTGGATGGTTCTCTACCTTCGCTACGCTTCGGTGAGAACCAACCTGCACAGCGGCAGCTCGAGCTACCGGTTACACTTGTGTATCTTATCATAATACTACAACGTTTAAGCTGACCCTCTATTTACACATGAAAACCCTTTATAATATCTGTGGATCTGACTCTTATCTGATGCTCCACATCCATATACACGTATCTACTTCATATACGGGCAAGTAGCATACTGGTATTTCCACTTTTTAGTCCTTAGTATCCATAATACAGCAAAATTTGAATGCATTTGAGCTGCGTTTTCCCGCGTCCAAGGCCGTTTTAGATTGTCATAATAGGACCAAACACTTGCTCTCATTTGGCAGTTACTTTCTGACACCTTTGCTCAACTTTTTGGGGATCAAAAAAAACATGAACAAAAATCGACCAAAAAGCATGAGGTACCCCTCATGGTTTTCATCGAAAATTAAACAATCGCGTTTTTCACCTTGAAAATGGAGACTTTTAATATGGTATATATTACATCAAAATGTTTCTATCGATCCAGAGCAACCTCTGAAATTATCTTTGTGGGACTTTGATATGTAAAATTTCGACATTTTGGCCAGAAACCTCTTTTCATATTTTTATAAATCATTTGATAGGTTTATTCAAAACATCTGTATTACTTAGTACCATTGGATGCACCTTGAAAAGTACTCCAGGAAATCTTAAGGAAGCATGGGGTGATCATCATATTTTACTTAGTCGAATTTGCAAAAATAGCTTAATCGAATCCAAAACCATCAAAATTTGTCCAATCTGGAACAAACTATGATTCTGGATTTGAATTAATTTTGGCTTGTGGGGCCAGCTGGCAAACTCAACGCCCTTTTCATACTGCAATACAGTATTAAATGCTCTTGAAGCGTATGAAAAGTAGGTGGCAGGCCATAAAGCTATCGTTTATAATAATAATTTATTGCATTCTATATCGTTCATAATGACATCGTCCTGCATTCTATATTTAATAACGTTAGCCTGGACATTGACGATTCATGGGCTGCGTAAGATGTCTGCAGTAAGTAATGAAATCTCTGAGGCTCTGAGACGTCGTTCAAATAAAACGTTGACAGCATTGAGCAGAGGAAAGAGGGTAGAACTAACAGTGATTTTTGTTGATTGATTGTATAATCATTATTCTCATACGAGCCAGGCTAGATAGATGCCTTGAAACTCAGGTTCCATATTAGGGTTGTAAAGTGTCTAAGGACTGAACATTTATTATGTTATGATATTAATTCAAACTGTTTCTCTCCATCCAAAGCTACTTCAGAAACCACTTTATGAGGTGTTTGTATGCAAAATTTCGACATTTTGGCCAAAAACCTTATCTCGTGTTTTCTGTAATTGCTCGTTAAGTTGAGTCAGAACAAGTATTTTACTTGGTGTCATTGGAAGCGCCTTAAAAAGTACTGCAAGAGTGTATTAGGAAGCATCGTATGATTATCGCGAATTATATAGTTGAATATCTCAAAACAAATGGAGGAAGTCGAAAAAAGACAAAATCTGTCCAATCTTGAACAGAAAAAATAAACTGAGTTTGAATCAATTTTGGTGGTGGCGGTATTGCCGCTGGCTGACCTAGGTGTCTTTTTGTTGGTCACAATGACGGTTGCGATGCTGATTAAATGGGGGTCTTGAATTTGAAAGAATTATCGATGTTGTGCCAGAAGGACTACAGCTGTCTATAAAGATTAAGGTATTCTTGATGGGTATATATGTCTGTGTTGTGCAACAACATGGACAAGCTATGATAATTGCAATGCATCTCAGCTATCTAAATACTGAGGTTCACCAGATGTGATAAGCGTTGTACAAGATAAATTGCTACTTTGGCATTCAGAACTTAGTATATATACTGTAGGGGGAAAAACTGCCCCGTTCGTTCAAATAATCTTGACTTTTACCCAGTATATTGCCAAAACTCAGAAAACAAAGCTACCCCATACTGCGTTTGATAGAACAGCTTATAGGGATTACAGCAACATAAAAACCTTATGGCTGGACTATATTTTAATCCCAGTATAACCAGCTAAAGTGAGACGTGGCAAAAATGTTAGTTGGATAATTCTAAAGAATATAAAATTGTCCATATCTTTAATTCCGATAAACGTATCGGAGAGATCTAAAAAAAACTACCCGCGGTATGCTCAGAATATTTAATACACGAGAAGCATTCTAAAAGTATAAAGGAAGCTAATTTCTTCATATTTTTTTCTTTATTTCTTTGCTTTCTTATTTTTTTTTCAAAACTTTCATTATGCCTGCTCGTTTAACACAAGATTTGCGCAACACTCTCCAATCTTTGCTCCAACGTGGTCTGTCGTTCTCAAAGATAAAAAAATTTGTATCCAGGAGTGGGTAACTCTACTCTCACAAGGCTCAGAAAACTATATTGCCCTGACCCAGCTAGACCTCTTGGCGGAAGACCGAAAAAACTTGGTGCTAAAACTATGTCCCTAATGTCAAGAGAACTTCGATCAGGTACTTTAGATAGCCCCGGAGCAGCGCAAGAGAGTTTAAGATTGATGGGTCAAGATATGTCAATCGGTGGCATCCGCAAGTCATTGGAATGAAATGGTCTTAAATCTCGAATAAAAGCAAAGATAAATTTTGTTAGCAAGATAAACAAGCGGCTTCGATTGGCGTGGGCTAAAAAGCATAGGCATCTTACTATTGCTGATTGGCGTCGTTGGGTGTTTTCGGATGGAACAAGAATAAACCTTTGAGGCTCAGATGGTAATTCTTTTTACTGAACGAATGGTGGCCGAATCATGCAGTCGTATCAAGTCAAGTCTCAGTTGCAGGGAAATGACGGTGGGGTCATGTTCTGGAGTTGTATAACAGCGGAGGGGCCTGGCTATGGTACTACCATTATTGAAGACGCAATAAACTCGGGCTTGTATGTCGATATTTTGAAGACACCATTGAACGACACTCTTGAGCACTTTGGGAAGACACCATCTGATGTACAATTTCAACAAGACAGAGCAACACCGCATACATCGGGCATTACTAAACAATGGTTCACCGACAATGGGTTTAACCTAGACGAAGTTATGGATTGGCCACCCCAAAGTCCCGATCTTAATCCCATTGAACATGTCTGGCATCTCCTAAAGCTTCGTCTTAATAAGTATCCCACTAGGCACTCTACAAAAGAAGAATTAGAGCGGCGTATTAACATTCAGTGGTACAAAATAACAGAAAAAGAGTGCCAGGAATATAATGATAGTATGCCTGCCCGAATCAACGCTGTCATCAAGAGCAACGGTGGTTCAACTCACTATTAATGATTTTATAATAAAATGTACATTTTTCTATATTTATTTTTTAACCAATAAAATCATTGGATTTTAGTTTTTGAAAAAGTTATAGTTATGTATAGATAGCACTACTTTCTCTCATTCAAAGAATATATATTTCGACTTTGTATACAAAGGAATGACCAAAAACCTGTGCAAAAAGACAAAGTTTTAAACGAACGGGACAGTTTTTCCCCCCTACAGTATGTTTACAAGTCCAGTCAATTGTGAGTACACGAGTGCCTCAGGAACTGCAATACATTCAATCTCCCTGATGTCAAGATATCGAGTTCCACCTACACTACATGAAACATATCGACTTAGGTGGCCTCTCAACAAGCTATACAAACTACCCATAAGGCCCCAGTGGCCTGCTATTTATATACCATCTCAACGTAGTAGTCATTTACCAGGGATCTAATATATTTAAGCTAGTTAGATGCTCTGTAATAAAAAAGCTCTTTGCTTTCGTTTTAGATACAGTTGACAACTGATTATTATCATCGACTATTATTACGAATTCATCGCTATCAACGAAGAGGTTTGTGATACGTGACAAACGCTTCAGGGAAACCAGATTTCAGCAACACTTGTGGGAGATACTTGGGATGAACGCTTTCAAAAGCCTTGGCGTTATCAAGCATGATGACGGCATAGGCTGCAAAGTTAGAGGGATTCCGCCAGCTGGCAGAATGAGCGTTATCTAGAAGCACTTAGGGACATGCCATGGTCATCGCTATAACGACCTGGCAGGAAACCACATTGGTAGGGGGTGATAATCTTGTTAGCAACTTGGACAACTCGAGAGTTCATTATTCGGGTAAAAGCGTTGCAGTCAGCTGCAATACGTGTGATGGGCCGATAGTTGGCGAGGTCATTCTTGGCACCTTTCTGGTGTAGAATGACGGTACACGAGGCCTGCCAAGGTGTTGGGAACTTTGCCAAATGGATAGCTTCATTGAATACCTGGTGGATAATGTCCCGACAGCTTGGATGGGATACAAAGAGGTAACGTATCTTATAGCCAATGCTCTCTAGCTCTGGGCTACTCTCTTTGGGTGTTGGACGGGCGTCATCCAAGATATCATTATAATCTATTGACGCCATAATCTGTGCAGTATCTTCCGATGATAAAGTGCGATTGATATGTCCCAACATGGCGTTCAGGCAATCCATGTCAATCGGCTCCTCCATGTACAAATCCTGATAAAAGGCTTCAGTATCATTGAGTTTGCTTTCCGTATCCAGGCAAGAATTTTCAACGATTTTCATGAGGTATGTCCCCATAGTTTGGGGCCAATTCTAGGTGATGAAATTTCGGCTCCCAAAAATTGAGTAAAGCTGTTAAAAAATGACTCATGGTTGAGAGCAACTATTTGGCGCTATTCCAATGGCTTACAACGATTTCTAACGCCAGAGCTTGGGCCTCAAATTCATCCAAGTGTTACTGTATATCTCAAATTCCTGAATGATGGGGTGACGGAAGAATGCTGGCTGTTTTACGCGCATCAGCGAATCACATTGCAATAGAAGTAAAGCCCTATAAAAGAGTAAAATAAGCTGTTAAATGCGAGTATGATAGGGGTTTTAGTGATGAAAACAAGTTCCATAGTGACCTTTCTAAATGTACGCAAGGAATGCCACTTTTTGGATGTACGAATGTATAGATGTAAAAACGCATTCTCAATCATTTTATAAAATGGGAGTAACCAAGCATCAGTGCATTGGTGTTCAATCTGAATTGCTCTAATGCTCACTTTACTTCTGTCATTGAATGTACATATACCCCATTCAGCATGGGAGCAATCATCATCCTAGGAAAAAAATATGATTGTTGCTTCGTCGGTAAAGTTGGAGCGTTGGATCATAGTATCCTCCTGAGTTTTGTTGGTCGAAATCTATCGTGCACTGACAGCAACACACTATCACCAATTCAATTAAAACGGACATATTCAGTATGATTACTGTCTAGACATGTCGTCTGTTGGTATCCGCATTGCTTTATTAAAAAACATAGCTAAATCTATTGAAGCAAAAATTGTAATGCTTAGTTCTATTTGCTTATTCAAGGAGAATAGAACAGATCAAACGAAATCATCATCTGCCTACTACTGCGAGACGGTGAAGTTCAAGAATATATGGGCATCATACCTAGGTGATGATGTGATATTAATTGCCAATGAGTCAAGTATGGAAGATTTATATCTTCTAGCAGCATATGGAATTCCTATGTCTCTTCCTATATCCGTCAAGCTCATGAAAAAACGATTGACTAAGAGGTCCATCGGTGATGCCCATAGTTTAGTTTTCAATAATGAAGGGGTCTTTATTTTCATCTCTGATACATCTTGCAGCAGTTTGGTTTTACGCACTCGCAATCCAGCAGTAGCTAAAATATCTAGCCCTAGTTTGCTGACCATCAGTTTTTTGATTTAAATTTATATGCTTACAACGGGCAGTATGTCATTGATATTTTACATTAGAAGCTTCTAAAAAAACAGTTGTTCAATGTTACGGCGGTACCAATTGTCTTTCCAAAAAACAATCAAAGTATAATACGTAGGGTTCTTTCTTTGGGTTTGTGTACCTTCTCAATTAACTATACTTCTGCAACACCTTTCAGTATTTTGTATCACTCAATAAATAACATTATAGAAATAGGAGCTCACCTCAACATGAATCACCTTTTCATTATTTTTAATTAAATTTTAGACAACACAAGTAGACATTAATAAGAGGAGCTGGTAAATAATACAAGTTGAATTTATTAAATAACAAAAAAGAACTATTCTGGCAGTATCATTTAGCTTCATGTAGTAGAAAATACTAATACATTACTGACGGTGTTCACCCACGAGAAGGGAGATACTAGTTGAACCCAAAAAGAAATCTGAAATGAACATGCAAAGTCAAAAAGATGACAAAGACGCACAAATCAGTTGGTGAACCTTGTTTGATGAGATTGAAGCTCAAGTGGAGATGCTAATAGCTACAAAGCTACTCGCCCTAGAACTCGAACGGTACCGACTAGGATGCACCGCTAGCACTATTACCTTCATAATAGAGTATCGTTACCAGCACCATTCACCTTTGCTAGTTTTGACTAGGTCTACCACCGCTGGTTTCAGTATGAAGAGACTTGGAAAGTTGAGGATAGTCATTGCCAAAAGAAAAAAAAAATATAAAAAATAAAATTGACTGTAAAGAGTGTAAATATGCTGGAAAAAAAAAGGGAAAACGTGAGAGAAAAAAGGGGGTAGCGTGACAGTGGCCGCGTCTCAAAATCTACCAAACAAGGAAAAATAGACCGAGGATAGGGTTGCCATAGACTACCATGAATAAACTACCTGATATACCAGACTTTTGAATACATTGGTGCCGTTAGGCTTCTCGAGTAAGTTTAAAGACAGTCGAACATTAAGCATAAGCACAGTCTACCATTTCAATTACAAGCGAAATAGTGTAAGCTTGTTATGTTTTCTGATTTGAAAGCATACAAAAGAAGACTTTTCGCTTGGATGAAAAGCCACAGACCAACCAGACACCAGGCAGAAAATATCCTTGAATCACCAGTTAGTTGACACATCGCAAGGTAGCTGCACACTGTATACTGACCATATTATACTTGTATTCTTGTCAGGAACTTGGACTTGGAACTTGGACTTGAAACTTGGAACTTGATACTTGATTTGATTGAGATGGTTTGTTATAGAAGAATAATTGTTTTTAGGTAAGAAAGGATATAGAAGATAATTTACAATTGAAAACGGATGAAGTGGAAAGGGGCATGATATTTATACTTGACAAAAGGTGCGGACATTAGCGCCGAGACATGAGTGATTATTACGGCATGGGTAATGATTTGTAATCAGGACTACGCGGACATACGTAATGATCTGTAATCATTATTACTAATCGTGGTTAAAAAGCATAACTCATGATTGCGTGATTCTTGGCATTGCCAAATACTTGACGATAATAGGTACTTGGCATGCATAAGGTTATATATAGTGCTGAATACTTCCCATGAAATAACGATTACTAAACTAATGAGCGGCGAGCTAGAACTAAGCCAAAACCACGCTGTTTTTATCAGCCTCTGCATTTTGTTATTTTAGTGTATCACCATCTTCAACTTGGAATATATTGCTCAGCAGCAGCATATGATGAGCATTTGTTTAACCTAACAAATCCAAAGTAGCATGCGTGAGTCTTTCATTGCAACTTGCCTGCCAGCCTTCTCTTCAAATGAACATTTGTTATTTTGAGCAGTAGAGATTATTATCTAGGTATTAATCAAATCTCTCTACTAGCCGAACGATCTCATTACTCTCGATGATGGCTAGCCCCTCAATTTGAGAGGCTGAAACAGAATATCATGTTTTTCTCATCCACTGTCGACTCACGTGTACAGAAACATGAAAGACAAGCTCAATTCCACTAATACTAATCAACAAATACCACAAGACCAAGTTCTTGATGTTATCAAACGCCTGGAACGTCCGGAATCAAATCAGCATGAAATGTTACGCAACGCTTATTAGCCCACAAGCCCCAATCCAATAACAACCATACAAGATTAGGAATGCCCATCTTTGCAGTCCGAATACGCCAACTCCACCCTATCACCGAATGCACCCGCACCAGGTACCCAGATGACGGCCATTTGTAAAGGCGACTTGCGATTGTTTACACCAGTCTCAGAAAACCAAGAATTTCAGTACATCTGCCTTCGAAAACCATTCAAGGAAAATTGCTCAAAACTTCGCAAAGCTAAATTCGATTCCGGTTCTATTATTAGTATCCATTATCCAGCCAGTAAGGTAGTGGCATTATTAGCTCACAATGCTTTTATCCCAAAAGCTCTAGAATTCCTGAGAGTCGAATACCTGTACCTATTACAAATCTCAACCCGCTTGATCCCGTCAATTTACTTGACCCTACATTCAAGGATACACCTTTAGATGAGCAAAATCAGCACATGCAAGAAATATTCAATCAGCAAGTTTACAAGACATTACAATTTTTACGTCCTCCTACAGTGAACCAGGCCAAGATCATGTTCCTAAATTTTTAATCATTGTCATTATGGATACTGGAAAACTATGTTCTTAAAAAATAGACAAGCCAATCTCATTTTTTCAAATATAATTTTAAAGTGAGAGCTGGACAACAGTGACAATAGATGGGGGTGACAATGGAGGGGGAGGGGTTGGAAGGTTTACCATAGCTAAGCAACGATAAAAAACCTACGACAGTTAGGCATCTAATTCAACACTTAATAGCATTGATCTATATGAGGGCCAGATCGCAGCGAAGCGAAGGTGCAAAACCATAGTATTCAAGCAGCCAATTCGGTTTCTTATTTCCATTATTATCAAGCTTACCAAAAACAAAACGCATCAAAATTTGCATGAATTAGCTTTATCAAAATTAATAATAGACCTCCTATTATATTTAGAAGTTGCACAGGCTGCAGAACTGCCCTTCCAGAAGACTTCAGCTATTAAAGATGTGATTCATGCCGTGTAAAAAAAAAGCCATAAAGCAAAACATAACTAAATTTGACAGCTTTCAAGCCTTTATATCTTGACATGTAGGCTTTTCTGAGCTGTCAGAATGACACCAAACAATTGTACTTGAGTGTTAGTAACTTCCTGTCACTTTTTCGCAACTTTTTGAGGACCCAAAAAACATAGCCGAAAATCGATAAAAAACCTTGAGGTACTTTTTTTTAAAAAAAATTGTTTTTATTGATTACTCCGTGTAAGTAGGTCCCTAAGGCATAACCAAAAGGCGGGCGCAATTGGTATGATATTCAATTATATTTAGGATAAAGCGATAGATGACAGGAACAGATGATAGATGACAGTTGTGATTAGAGAATTACAATTGTTTGTGAATTTCAGTTTGGACATGTAGTTGAAGCTGGTTCTTGATCTGCTGGACCACATCGATCCATGTAAATGGAGTCGAGTGAAAGATCTTACGAACTTCAGCTCGCCAAATGTTGCCAACAAGTGTTACCAGTACGGCCATGTCAGCAGTGGTGTACGATTTGGAGACATACTTGATGTTTTCAAACTCAAAAGAGGAAAAGGCTTGGATAATATTACCAATCAAAACGGTTGGCCACAAGAATTCAAAGATGATAGCTTTCCAGATGGATATCTTGCTGGAACAGAGGAAAAGCAAATGTACAGCATTTTCTTCGTTACCACAGATCGGGCAGAGAGGTAATTCAGCTATCTCAACGTAATGTAGCAGACGTT